TACATTATAGTCTCTGCCTTTTGTCATGTGGCTAGTCTTTCTCTCTTTGAAGTCTCAGATTAGAAACCACATCACTATAGAATTAAACAGAATGTAGAGGATGTCTTTTAACCAAAGACTTGAATTTTACCCATGCTTCCCTATAAATTTGCATTTGAATCTCAGCTATGTCTAGTGACAGAAACAATAAAACACAAAGCTTTTTTTCATATAAATTTTTCTTAAGATATAGTCCTTGTACCATAAAATCATACTTCCCAGGTATGGTGGCACATGGTTTTAGCCTCATGGAGGCAGAGGCAGGTGGATACTGTGAATGAGATCCAGGCCAGCCTGGGATGGTCTACATAGGGAGTTCCAGGCCAGCAAGGGCTACATAGTGAGACCCTGTCTCAAAAAAAAAAAAAAAACACACACACACACACACAAATAACAAAACTCCCCACACTTTAAAAATTTATGATTAGCATGCATCTCAAAGGCTAAGAGTCTTCAGAACATTCTGTTAGTCTGGTATACAAAGCAGCAGACAAAGACCTATTCAAACAAGCTGAAAGCAAGGGCTGGCAACCAAAATTGTCCTCTGGCCTCTACATGCATGCCATGGCACACATGCACACACTCATACACATGAGCATATACATGCAAATACATACACACATTATACACATAGACAAACAAGAAAATTTTAAAGAAATCAGTTGAAAGGAGGCCTATAATTAAAAGCACATAATTTTGGAAAATAGCATTGATTGTAGAAAAAATAGTACAGTATGAAAATAGAGTGTGAAAACATTATCATGAGCTAACTTCGTTATACAGTTAACATTTATGAAATAAAAGAAACAGCTCTAAATTTTATCTAAAGTAATACACAGTCTATAAAATGTGAATTAGAAAAATCATCCTTTTATATGAACAGGTATATTTGTATAGATATGTTAATTTATGAAATGAAACAACTTTTAATTTTATATAAAGTAATACAGATTCTGTAAAATGTGAATCAGAAAATCATTTTTATAGAAACATAATTTGTAGATGTATATACGTGTGCACATTTGTGTATATGGATGTATAACTGAACTGAAACTGGCTTTTTTCCCTTTGAGAATTTATCCTATGAAAATGTTAAAATCATGAAGAAATGTGCAATGGGAGACAGTCTTTGCATCGATGTTTAACATAGCAACGAAGAACCACTGAGGGAAGATTCTCTGTCAAAATTATGATTAGCTGTTTTCAACAGATTTGCTGAGTTGTGCAACCATCACCATAGTGTAATTTTTTCATTACTTTCCACAAAGTAGTACTTGTTACCGTCATACCTCATTCTTCACCTCCAGCCCCTGACAACTTTCAATCTACTTTCTGACTGTAGATTTGTCAATTCTGGGCATTTCATATAAATAGAATCATATAGGATATGGTTTCTTGTGTCTGATCTCAGAAAAATGTTTTCAAGTTCCCTTTTAAATTTTGTACTTCATTCCTATGGCTAAATAACATTGCATTGTATGAATATATCACATTGTGTTTACATGTCTGATGGACATTCGGATTGTTTCTGCTTTTTTACTATTATGTAATGTAGGTGAACATCCATGAACAAGTTTTTGTATGGATACATCTTTTCACATTTCTTGGGTGGATACCTAAAGTAGGTGGGATATGGTACCTGTATGTTTTTAACCAATTGGATGGCCAATCTATTTTCCAAAGGAGATGTACCATCTCAGATTTCCATCAGCAGTGTATGAGTGTAACAATTTTTCCACATCTTTGATACTTTTTTCATTATAGCTATCCTAGTGAAGATGAAGTGATTATTTGTGTTGATTGAGGGCTACTAATGTTAAGTACCTTTTCCTGTACTTATTGACCATTTGTGTATCTTTTCATAAATGTCTATTCTAGTTTGCTTTCTGTTGTGTTGTGATAAATACCGTGACTGTGATGGTTTGAATGAAAATGCCCCTCATAGGCGCCAAGTATTTGGGCATTTTGTCCCCAGGTGGTGGCACTGTTTTGGGAGGTCTTAGAAGGTGTGGCTATCCTGGAGGAAGCACATCACTGGGCGTGTGCTTAGAGCATTCTTAAGCCTTGCTGGGATCTCTAGTTGCTCTCTTGCTTCCTGGGCCAGCTTGATGATGTGAGAGCTTAACTTCTGCTTCTCCAGCCACCTCCAACCACCATGCCTCCCTGCCATGATGGACTGTAATTCCCCTGGAACCGCAAGCTCAAATAAACTCTTCCTTTTATAAACTCCTTTGGTCAGTGTTTCTATCACAGCAACAGAAAGGTGACTAATATAATGACCAAAAGCAAACTTGGGGAGGAAAGGGTTTATTTGGTGTGGAAGTCCGGTTCACAGTCCATCACTGAGGGAAACTAGAGCAGGAAATCAAGCAGGAGCAGCAGCAGGAGGGAAGCTTCCCATGGAGGAAGTAGCTGGCTTGCTCGGCTACTTTTCTTATATAGCCCATACCACCTGCCTAGGAATGGTACCGCCCACTGTGGGCTGTATCCTCCTACAGCAATTAGCAATCAAGAAAATGCCCCATAGACATGCCCACAGGCCAGTCTGGTGGAGGAAATTCTTCAGCTGAGGGACCCTCTTCTCAGGTGTCTCTGAGCTTGTGTCAGGTCGACAGCTAAACTTAACTATGACAGATACCTTATTTTTAATATCAGATATTTGTTTTGTTGTTGTTGACCTTTGATACAGGGCTGAGTTCTAGCTCCATGGCACAGCACTTGCTTTGCATGCAGGAGGATGGGGTTCAATCCTTGTAACAGCAAAATAATTAAGTCCTTGTTATACTCTCAAGTACTTACTAGGCCCTCATCAGACCTGATTTTCAAGCGTGTTCTCTTAATCTGTGGGTTGCCTTTTCAATTTCTTGACACTATCTTTTGAAGCACAAAAATTCCCAGTTTTAATGAAGTCTAAATTATATACTTAAAAGTTTTGCTATGTTTTCTTCTGTTTTATCCAAGAAATTATTGCACTGCCTGATTCCATGTGATGGGAGATACACATACATGGATTCTCCTAAGGCATTTTGACCCTCACCTGATACATTCTGTGTTAATAGTTGTATATGAGATGAGGTCATGGGCCAACATTCCTTTATATGTGAATGTCCACCTGTTTAGCTTTGTTGTAAGATTATCATTCCATATGGAATTATCTGGGCACTTGTCAAAACCAAATGATCTTAAATGTATGGTTTATTGCTGAATTCTCCATTCTACTCCACTCAATTTATGGTTGATTTTATGCCAGTGCTGCCCTACATTTTAATTAATGACCTTTTGAAGTTTGAAATAAGGAAGAAAATTTCCTTTGTGGGTTTTCTCCCCCTTCCCCTCCTCCCCAATTCTGGGTCTTTTGAATTTCCTTATGAATGTTATGATCAATTTATTCATTTGCCTAAAAAAAGTTGGAACTTGGTGGGGATTACTTTGAATTTGTAGGCCAATTCTGGGAGCATTACCATCTTAACAATATTAAGGTGTTCAATCCATAACCATGGCAATTCTGATTTTCCTTGTTGAGGTTGCCTCTAATTTTTCAATAGTATTTTGTACTTTTCCATATAGCACTCATGAGCACTTCTTGACCTTGGTATTAATCCTTTTTGATCTTGTAATAAACAGAATTAATTTCAATGTCACTTTTAGAGATCTTATTACTAGCTTATGGAGGTAAAATTGCTTTGCGCATATTATTTCTGGCATGTTAATACCCTCCAGTGCTTACATGTGTGCTTTTTTTTAGGACACTGTGTATAGTCATGTCACCTACAAATCATTTTATCTCTTCCTTCCTTTTCCTGGCCTGGTAGGCATTTGAGGATATTCCTTGTGTTTCCTATACAGAAGAAAACTGGTGGCTACTGGGCATTAAGTATTTCATTTTTACACTCTTATTAACTATTTCTTCTATTTCTGTGACATGGTTTAATGGTGATAGGACCTTAACCTCCTTACAGCTTCTCATGCAAAAGACAGAATTTATTATTCTGCCTTGTGGGTATGCTTAGTCTACAAAACTCCATGTAAGGAGAAGGTGGCAACAATTAACCAAGTTCTTAAGGACTTGGAAAGTTTTAGTTTTTGATTGTGACTATTCAGAACTATTGAATCTAATCATTGAGGTGCTGAGGATTGAACCTTCATGCTATATCATACCCAGGCCTCTTTACTTTTTTTGCATTTTGAGGCAGGGTCTCACTAAATTGCCCAGGCAGGCCTTAAACTTTGAGATCCTCTTAAGTACCCTCCTAAGTAGCTGGGATTATAGGCCTTTGCCAAGGCCCTCTGAAGGTCATGCTTACCTAAGGTGAAAGTAAACTTAAAAAGTGAGGTGAACTGGAGCAATGATTCTGGGAGTTCTTGGAAGCCCATTTGGTTGGGAAGCTTCTGCTGGAAAACAGCTTCCACAATCTGTAAAGTCTCCAGTCCTTTTGTTCTACAACAGTAGTCGCAGATAAAGTAGAATGAGCTAAAGGAAAAAACAAAACACAGGAAAACAAACCCTCCCTTTTCCATCTTGTGATCGTGAAGCCCTCTCTACTCCAAGAACCACAAACCTCCCTGGGAGGGTTCTTTCCTTCCAGCTGTTATTGTGCATCAGCACGCCCAGGAAGCCATTTGTCCCCTGCAGACAGGACATTCCTGAGACAAAAAAGAATGAGCTGGATGGACTGCCAGCCTGGGCTGCAAGGTAAGATCTGCTTGCTCTATGTTGGGCCCATTTGGCCATAAGACACTCAGAGACTTGGTTCTTTCAAGTCAAGGTGCCATCTTGGTACTGTTTTTTATTTGATACCAGCTGACTACTGGTTTCCTATTGCCAGAATTTAACCTCAAATTACCTTTGGAAGGGCAGGGCAGGTACTAGATATGACTTAAACCTTGCAGTTTCCACATGGGTAGGGTGTCAACCAGAGAAACCAGGAAACTATATCACAACCAAAACACTATGAGACATATTGCAGTCAGATTCATTTCATTTTATTATGAACAAACACAATCTCAGATGAGTAGAAATACTTTCTGAGTTGATATTAATGAAAATTATTTCAAAATTATTAGATTACAAATAACTACCGTTGCACATAACAAAGGAAAAATCCCACCCAAGGAAGGAAACGGAGTCCTGCATGTTTTCATAGCAATGAGTATACATTAAGGAATGCATCCATTCAATCTGAAAAGAACAATGTAGGTCAACAATGTCTTCTGGGACACAGGCACATGTCAAGTCCATGGTGGACACAGCTACTATAAAAATGTGCAGGACTTGAGAATTCCTCTGCTGAAGATGCCAAAATGTTTTATAAAGAGCATTAGCCATACTCCAACCTACCCAACCGAGGTACGTTAGGATTATTATCCCATTTTCACAGAAGTAATACTGAGTCACATTGTTAAGTGACATGTCCAGTGCTTCAGTGCTATGGTTTGAATCTGTCCCACAATTTATGGGTTAGGAACTTAACCCCCCAATGCAACAGAGTTGACAGTTGGGACCCTTAAGAGCTGATTAGATTAGGAGGGCTCTACCCTCATTAACATCCTTATTTGAGGAGTAGCGTTACTGTCAAAGTGGGACTGTTACAAAAGCGAGAGTGGTGGGTGGCCCAGGCCTTCGCCACCAGCACATGACCATCCTGCTTTCTTACATTCCTACTAACCTATTTCAACTAAAGAGAAGACATTCAGGATACTAGCAAACCATGAAGAAAAGCTTTCACTTAAAATGCTAACTATCTTTTAATCTTAAAACAAAAACTATAAATCACACACGTTCAGATTACTTCCACCATCCACCAAATATGGGCACTTCATTAAAACAGCCCTAAGTTTCCAAAACTAGGCCCCAAAGGGAATACTGCAAATTGATGTAGTTAATCCTCCAGCCAGTCAGTTTTTATTATACCTGCCACATTTACCGATTCTCGGGTTCTAAGGAACTCCTCAGAGGAAGTGAGTACAGGCCCACATGCAACACTGATTAGAAGAGGTAAGGCACCCAAATAAGGTCTTAGCATGCCCACAAGGCAAGGACTGTTAGGAATTCACTCAACCGGATCTTAGTTTCTTATTAATGTGTCACTTGTACTGAACTTTAAAATCTTTAAAGTACTATTCTTTAGTGAGCTGGTACGCTTTCATCTACAGACATATATACTGGGGTCCTCAGCCATGGCGTGGTTCCGATCCGTGAAACAGGATTAGAAGTTTATTGTTCATATATAGAACAGGCATCTGATGACCTGTGGAACTAATATAATTCGAAAGGCATTTCTAAGGACTAGGACACAGGCCAGCAAATATACTGTAATCTTAAGATTTCTGTTTTCATTAACAGTTCAAAGATAAGGCTGCTTTCATGTGGGCTGGTCTCTGTAGCCTCTATTCTTCTGCATTTCTGACTGAGCTACAGGGACAGATGTTCATTGTCTTCAAAACTCTAACATTGTATCTTTCTGAACTTCTGTTGTCTACACTAGGCTGTGTGATATGGAATGCCAATTAGTTTGCTGAACAAAATCTTTTATGCAAAGTCCATGGCATCTCTGATCTCCTATCTTAGCCAAGGCTTTCAGCAGACCCTCCATCAAACTGAGGCACTTGGGAACATGCCCTTGCTTCTTGTGCTTCCCAGTTAGGCAACATGTCCTCCCTTCTATAAGCATTGCAGTGCCACCCAGGAGTACTGATCAGCCCAAGTTGCTCTGCTAAACATTCAGTGAGCACTGAGCATGCCCTCTGCCCTGACTCATACTGGAGGTTAAAAAGGAACTGTTTTGCTCTGTGGCTGGTTCATGGGCACAATAGGAGCATCTGTCTTGGAATGACTCATGAGACAAAGAGCCTCTCTGAGTCAGGGATGTTGAATGGTTTGCCAAACTTTTTCTTTATAAAGTTTTCAGAATGTCAGAAACCAAGAGATGGAGGTGGAGAGAATCTGAAAGCCACAGGAAAAGGATAGTCAGCTCTACTTGCTAAAGAAACACATCAGTACAGTGCTCCCAAGCGTTATCTGTGTGAAGCTACTGAGACTGCCCATCTTTACTGCCCTGTAAACACACAGGAAGTTGCTGTCTAGAGCAAGACTAAACGTCAAAAAAAGGGGGGGAGGGGAGAGAAGAGGCAGATGTGGTACAGCTTAAGAGATTCCCACCACCTATCCCAGGCAGTCCTGTATGTAGGCTAAATGGTCACAGAGCCAGGCGTGAGCTCATGGGTGTAACACTTTAGGGAAAAGCCTTAATGTAAAGAGAATTAGAATGAAGAGAGCTCATATCTAACCTGTTTCACTAGAATGCCCCAAAATGTATTCAGTAACTTCAAAATCCCCTGACAGTGTTTTCTTAGAAGACTTCTTTTGGAAAGTTATTAGGAGCTGCCTACAGTGTCCCTCAACTTCTCCATCTGCTTCCCAACAGTGGGAGGAACAGACCACTCATGTTCTAGTTCAAATTTTATGTCTATATTTCTAATTGTGATCCAAGTTCATCTTTTAAAAAAAAATCTTCCCATGGTTAGATATTTGGAAACGCCACTGCCATTCTTTATGGGAGCAATTAGTATCTTGACAGAAGAGCAAGAAAATGGACTTGCAGCTCACACAATGTTCAAAACCACCCATGAGTGACTGAACTTACCAATTCCAAACTTGCCTCACTTTGAAGATTTTTATTCTATTCATCCTTGTTATTAAAAGAAGATCAAATCCTGTTTTAATAGAGCCTGCCTTTCCTATCAACTGCTTCTTAAAGAAAATCCTCAGCCTAAACTATACCGAGATGTGTTATTGGATTCTAGCACCACCAAGCCCCATGGCCATCGAACCAGGAGGCAGATGCTATATGCAGAAGCTCCACACCCCTGCTAGACAAGCAGCTGAGCCCGGTCACAAGCATTTTTCCTTTCCTACTTTTGCATCTTCGATGAATCACAGCCTACATGCTGAATCTGGCTCTTATTAATTTATCTGCTTTACAAGCTCTCTGTCAAATAAAAGTATTTTTCCATTCCATCTGGTAAAGCCTGTGTTAAAAAATAATTAACAGGAGAAATCTTGGGGGATTTTCTTGTATCTCTAGCTCAGAACAGCTCAAGAAAAGAGAGTTGTTTGGGGGTAAACACCTTTACTTTTAGACCCTTGGAAGGTTGGTAAGCTTTAGAAGGTGAACACTGACCTATAGCTGATCAGCTGCTAGCTTGGGAGGCAGTGAGAAATGAAGGTGACAAGGACAAAGCAAAGCAAGGGACAATGGGAATAGAAAAGAAAAATTTCAGCTTAGTGTCAAAAGAGAGTTGTCTTTCAATACTTGTCCGTTTTACAATACTGTACCAGAATGGGTTAACTTCGTCATTTTTAGCTTCCAGGTAGCAATACTCAGTAGTTAATTAACAGAACATTAAACCTCTGCCAAGCTGGCTTTTGGAATAGGAACCCAGATGACCCAAAACTCAGCCACTCTTGTAGCTTCCATCCCCGGTTCTTTTAATCCTGGCTAAGACAGCGGCCTTGGATACTTTCTTCCGGTCATAAGCCAGACCGAGCGCGGCCATGCAGTCGATGAAGAACGTGGTGAAGTTGATGTGCCAGCGGTACTCACTGGCTGAGTAGTCAAAGGGGAAGGAGTGGTGGTAGTTGTGGAAGCCCTCGCCTGGAACAGAAGCAAGGGGAGCAGTTAGGGAGTTCGGTGCACACCTCTTACCTGATGGGTACCTTGAACTTTGGAGAACCCTGCTGCTGGTGAATGAGTGGGTGAACCCAGTATCTACTACTCTGAGCAAACAGGGACCCTGAAAGGCATCATAGTTCCACATACAATGTAGAATTCACTCATTTCAGTCCAAATGATTCCATTTCTTTGAAAAATCTCAGTACTGTACAGTACAGGCAATTTATTTCAAACACAAAAAACCATGAACAATGGTAGGTCTTTCAAAAGAGGACTATATGTATCATAAAGAGGAAAACATTTTTTAGATGTTTAATATTTATTAGTGTTTGTATGGGCATGTGCACACGTGTGCTACAGCATGCATGTGGAGATCAGAGGACAACTTGCAGGAGTCCATTTTCTCCTATCATGTGGGTTCTATGGATCAAACTCAGGTTGTTAGGCTTGAATAGAAGTGCCTAACACTGAGCCATCTTGCTGATCCAGAAAATCTTTCTAATAATGGTCAGCACAGCCTGAATTAATCAAAGTCATACAAAGATGAGCATCCATCTGAATGGTGTCATTGGATGATCAATAGCTCTGATCACTGATGAAAGAAGCTATAGGTCCTCTTTTCACAGAGAAAACAACTTGAGAACTTAAAAGTCAGTTCTTGGGAAGAATAGGAAAATGTGGGTACAGATAATGGAACCATGTTTTCATTGTCTGACAACCGGGACTGGGTTTGTATATTAGATCAGCAATTACAATCAAATGACCTGGAAGATTCGCAAAGGCTGTGGGAAGGGGAGTTCCTAGCATAAAACAGAAGAAGCTAGAAAAATAAAGGACAAGTGGAAAGAGGGCAGTAGGGAGTGAGGAAGGGCTGCCAATGGGTACTGCTGGCCTCCTTACAGGCATCACTAATGGTAAGCCATGTCCAAATAACAGTGTAGAGATAAAAATATCAGTGTGGCATACTCAAAGTTTACTGAACTAGATTATCATTTTTTTAATATATAGCATGATTAAATAGAAAACACAAGGCTTACAGTCATGCAGATGACCAGACTTACGACTCTCCTGCCCTGAGTTAGACTACAGTAACCTGCCAGAGGTGACAAAACTTGTTTACAAACTTAAGCATAATTGTTTTTCATCCTTTCTGTTTCACACAGAAGTTATGGCCTCGCAAAGGTCTCCTCCTTAAATTGCTCCCTAGTTTAGGTGCTCCTGCTGGGGACTACTGACTTACCTACAGCTCCCATTGAAACCAGGATATTCTCCCGAGAGCTAATGTTCTTGTCGTATGGACGATATCCGTAGAGGTGGGCGGCACTGTTCACCAGCCAGGTGGCATTGAGCACCACAGCGTATCGCAGGAAAGTGCTAACACACAAGCTGTTTAGAAAAGTTTCACCCCAGCAATACCAGGGCACAAGTGTGGGCAGAATAAAGCACATCAACAGGAGACCGGGCTTGTAGTACCTATGGTGAGAGATGACACATAGGGCCCATGGAGAGAGGACTCTCACACCTACCTGGACTGTCTACTCACAGTGAGTGGGCTAAGCCATTTTTCTTCCTACACTATGAGTAAAGGATAGCAGGAACCAGCACTAGGAAATGTAGAAAACTTTAGAGCATATATGGGTATCTCGGTGTTTACATGAGGCAATGTGGCTTTATTAGGATCCAGCCAATGGGAAGTCTTTGGGAAGGCTCTTAACTAGAAATCTACTGTTCTTTTTCATGAAACCATAGGACATGTTGGTCCAAAAGGTCAAATCAAATCAGAGTTGTTTCCTGGGTTGTTGTCCACCTGCCTTTGTATTCCTTTTTCCTTATTCTTAGCTCTAATAGCTCACCCCTGACCAATTGTGGGCCTCTGACCCTATGGTGCCAGAGACTCCAAGGGACCGAATGTCTACATCCCTTCAGCAGCCACATCTTCCACTTTCACATCACTGAAAGTCTCTGCATTCAACTCCTTTCTGTTCCTTAGCTTGGGTCCTTTACTATCTAACTTGTACATCTCACCTCTCCTAAGAGTAGCCTACCTGAAGCACACTTCTGACCCTGCCTTGTGCTGCTAGAGAATCCTTTAGTAATTCCCCATTACCAATTTAACTAATCCCTAGTCTGCATCTAGTTTCCACAGAAACATTATCAGCAATCTATCTTGCAGTCTTTTTCCTCCTTTTTCCTGTCATACCTTGTATTTCTAACTAAAGGGCTTCATATCTGGAATATTCTTGAGGCTTGAGCTCACCCTGCTCTGTTTGCATAGTCCCTCTCCACAGCACTCATGAAAGTCTTTACCCAGCTATGGATTCCAATGCTACTTTATCTAAAGCCCTTCCCCACACTTCTTTAATGATCAATCTTCCTACTCTATATCTGTAAGGCATAGAAAATATTCTGGCTTGTGTGATGGTAATCAGGGTACTTACCCTTCCCTCCCCCAGCAGGGTCCCTACTCCTTCAAGGTAAGCTCTCCATTACACTCATCTTTCTGGCTTTGATTTTTCTAGGGCAATAAACAAATTTTTTTGCAACTGGTGCCAGTCAGATAAATCATACAAAGAAAGTATTAGTTTACCTCTGTGCCCTATGGGACATTAAATCACAGTGTTTATAATTCCTAAGAGAACAGGTAGGGAACCTAAACCCCAGCCCCAATTCCATTTCTTTCACTTACTTCCTCTGGAACATCACCAGTTTCTCGGCTTTTAAGTCAGACATGTCCAGTTTACCACCCTTCTCTTTGACAGCTGGGTGTTTGCGCACAAGCAGCCAACCCACGTGAGAGAAGAAAAAGCCACGACGGGAATTATGAGGATCAGCGTGGGTTTCTGAGAACTTATGATGGGCGCGGTGATCTCGGGCCCATTCATATACATCATTCTGGAAGGACAGAAGAGAGAAACCCAGTATTGAGAAGAGATGCCCTCCTGGGAGACTTTAGTGCAAGGGTGTCTGCAGGGGCCCAGGACTCTCAGCCCAACCTCACAAAGTCCCCAGGACTCTGACTCAAGAAGATGTCAGGTTTGCACAGTATGCACCTTTGATGGCCCACATGGTAGTTTTTCAAACAATGTAAATGGGATACTTATGGAGTGTCTTCTGACTCATGGAATATGATGCCAGTGGTCTTAGGTCCTAGGGTGCTGCTCTGTGGTGTCAGAGTGAGGAGCTCCATCCTAACATTACTTCACAAGTGACCAGTCTCCCTGTCCAGTATCAAGGCTGATAAGTAACTGATGAACATGAGCACATCTCTGAAGGATCTCTGGGCTTGCCTGGGTCCTGTCAGACTTTCAAAAAGGCACCAACGCATTCCTTCCTTCCTTTTGTCCTCCAAGAACACAAGGAGCCTTTGGAGACAAAGTTGCTTACTTTCTCTGACCAGAGACAGTTATGCAAATGTGGTGAGCACTTCAAATCTTGACAAGACAGAGGAGACTAATTTGGTTTTGTTTTCCTCTTGCTGCAAATTAAACCCACATTCCTTGCTATCCTGTTTCCACTGATAAAGCTTAGTACCCATGAAAGTCCCCTTCCGAATTCCCTTTATTCTTTCTCTGCTATAAACGTTGCTTTAACAGTCCTTAAGATTTTTGGTTTGTTACCATAGCCTATTATATAGGCCTGGAATGTCGGGCAACCTCTTGGTGCTTCCTTTTCTGTAAAAGAATGATAATAACAATATCTACTACCTCAAATGGCTGTGAGGATTTAAGAAATTAATCTAGGGTTTGGAGAAATAGCTCAGTGGTTAAAGAGCATTGGCTGCTCTTGCAGAAGACGTGGGTTCAATTCCCGGCACCCATATGAGAGCTACCAACCGTCTGTAACTCCAGTTCCAGGGGAATCTATGGCCTCTTCTGACCTCTGCACAACACGGGTGGACTTACAAAGATGCAGGCAATACACTCAAACACACACAGAAATAAAAATAATAAAGTATTAAAAAAGAATTACTCTATGGCAAGTGCTTAGTATTCACTTTATCTAAAACAACAGGGTTCCAGACACATCACCTTCAATTCCATTGTGGTGTAGTCTAAGAAAGTTACCTTCTTGTATGAGTTTAATGTTAACTTGCAGTCTAGGAAACAAGGCTCTTGTGCCACCACCAGACTGAAGGCCTATAACAGCCATGTTATGTGATACCACAGGGACCTTGAAATGAAAACTGACCCCATAGCTGGGGAGCTTTTCTTGTTTGGCTCCCCTTTCTCTTCCCAGTGACTCTGAGGTATCTTACACTATGTGGACCTCAGCACCAAACCTGCATTTAAAGTGACGCAAGAGACCAGAAAAGGCAATGGCTGTTCTGACAACTGCTCTTTGGGCACTGATCCCCCTGTACTCCACCATGGATCATTGATGAGGTGGAGACAAAAGAGCTGAGAAGCACCAGGTTCTTACCTGGAAAGCCATAGTGTTGGCAATGATGAGGAAGAGCCTCAGAGGCAGCCTCGCCTTGTAAGTTCGGTGACTCCACAGGCGATGAGCCCCAGCTGTGATGCCCAGAGCACTGATTAAATAGTACAAATATGCTGCAAGACAAGAACATGGGGGAGTCACCAACAGGCCAGCTCTATCAGGGGAAACATGTCAAAGACATTCTCCTAATACCTATCTGCTGCTTGTTTAGCCTTTGGACAAGGAACTGGTTTCCTCTGAAAGCCTTGGATGCCTTAGTCTGTGAAACCTCTACTATCACCATCTAGCCTCCCCACCTAGGAATGGAAATAAACTGAGTCCCAGGAACTAAGGAGGCAGAAAAGGAGGTCAAGAAATAGGCTCACACAGCACTGTGCCACTGGTCATTGTGAGTTCACAGGGTCATTATCTTTTGACCTCTAGCTGACATTTTCTACGATATTCTAGTCAGCAAACCACCTTCCAACCTAGAATCTCTAACTGAGGGTATTATCAAAGCAGAAACCAAAACAATCTGGGCAATGGCCAGTTAGAGGAACCCCAAGTGGTGAGACATTGATGGCTCTAGACACGTGGCTTTCACTAGCAGGTACCAATGCATCTCAGCTGCTATTAATACCATATACTTCTGTGGAAGAAGAAATCCTGAAAAGGTTATTTATTCCATGAGAACCATGGTTTGAAGGAAGGGTTTCTGTCAACAAAGCCTCCAAGATCTGAGTGCCTAGTTCCAATGTCTCTCCTTGGCCATGCTCCTGGCAATTCAAATTCACTCTCACCCTCAATTACTCTAGACAATGCAGGAAGATGCTCAATGTTGGCAGATGAGTGCTGCCTCACTATCTTTGAGGCATGCAGGCTCAGGAAGTGCCAGTCATGATCCTTAACAGGGAAGGAGGGGAGCAGTACACCATCTGTTCCTTTGATTAGCAGCACTAGAAGGCCTTGGTAGGAATGGTTAGCAATGCTTCACTCTGAGGGAATAGCAGGAAACAATGGAACCTCAGAGGCTACAGAACTTAGTTGCTACTGGAGATACCATACATTGTAAAAACTGCCCTATGTCCTTCTACAGCCAGATAACAAGTTTCCTAAGGACCCTCTCTCCTTCTCTCTCTCCCTCCTGCACCCCATCCTGTTCCTCCTATGGGATTCCCCAGGAGAGAAATAGCACACCAAGGAAAGTTCTGGCTGTGGGATAAAAGACCTTTATCCCAGTATCTAACCATACCCACTACACCTGGAAAAATCCCAGAAGAATGATAGCTCTGCAATCACCAGAGGAAAGAAATGGCTTTGAGCAAAGCAGAAGCTGTTAGCTGAATCCCAAGGAAGCACCTGGACTTGGTTCATGAGGCAGATAGATGGTTCCTGACACTGCTCCAGAAAACCTCCTACTGTCTTCTAAAAAACCCCCTTGCTCACAGCCCTTCAGAGTAGCATGTAGCCCTGGTCTGCATGGTTCTGGCACACTTCCCTCTTCAGGTCTCACAGGTGAAACCACCTGCAAAGCACATGTGTGTGTCCAGGGGGCAGCACAGCCTTCAACCCATACCCATGGATCCCTGCGGAGATGAGCTAGGGCAGGTCAGGGACACAGAAGCAACTTATTTCCAACAATACAACAGCCTGAAGGCTGGGCTGCTCAAAGGCTCTATTCCCTGCCAAGTAGGTATGTGTTAGGGCCAGAGAAGACTGGTTTTAGAACGTGCAAGTTCCATAGCAGTACAGGGCCACAGGAGATGAACAGCAGCCTGCAGGCAATGGAATGTGAAACACTCTGCAACTTTATTTTAAGAACATCTCGTTGACTGGCATGTGCTGCATCCTGGAGATCTGCCTCCAGTAGTAAAGCTTTTGCACTCGGTTCTACAGAAGCCTGCTTATCTTCTTCCAGAGCAAACTAGTAGAAAGGCCGAACACTTGTGCTGATTGATAACCCCTTCTGTTCTCTCCTGTGCACTTTCCCTTGGTTAAGCAAGTGATTCATACAGAAAAGCTTGTGCAGGGCCAGCAGACTCTCTGCCTTGGGTCCCTCCTTCCAAGGCCCCTCATGGGCTCAGCATCCATGTTGGAGATTTTCAGAGCTGACACTCCTGCACCTTAATCCCACTAGGCTATGTTTCCAGTCAGTTCACCAGGAACCAAAGTGAAAAGGCTGGGGAAACCTGGACAGAACTGTCTGGTGCCGTGGGTCAGAGCCCACCTCATTAAAGATCGGGGAGAAACCTGGGGAGCTGCTCACCAAAGAGGCAGGTGTAGAACTTGCAGCTGGGAACCAGTGTGATCCCATACAGGGCTCCCACGTGCAGCAGGGCCATGAGGATGATGTTTCTCCACACGTACTCCAGTTTGGGCGGGGGGCCCTCCGCATCCTGGTAGGTGGGGTCATATAGATCATCTTTTATTTCAGGGCGAACCTCTGCTCCCCAGTGGTGGGAATTCTTTTCAAACCTCTCGCCTCCATTTTGCTGCCCCCCAGCGGGAGGCGTTGTGATTGTGGTGGTGGTTGAGTAAGAGCTGGAGATCTGCAAGGAGAGGTCGAGAATTAGGACAGCAGACGCGTGGGGGCAGCAGGGGGGCACTTCTCCCTCTAATGTAACTGGGGAGGGGGAGGGGGTGTGCAATACAGGCTATACCCTAGTGCCCAAGTTATAAGCGGGTGGAGTGCACCGTGAGACGGAATAAGGGGAAGTTTCCTGACCCTGTGAGGATCACAGTGATAAACCTCATGTCGAAGCGGAGGGAGAGATATGTTTCACTTGTACCCTTACCAACTCACAAAGAAAACCCGCAAGTATTGGAATTTAAAGATTAAGAAACACAAGTTGAGGGGTCGACTGCCCTGGTTAAAAAAGAAAAAAAAAAAATTCACTCATCACCTGATAAAGGACCAATCAACCAAGGGCAGAGCAACTCGGAAATGATGGTCCCAGCTGCTCTGAACCCTCTCCAACCCCCTACCAACCACCCACCTAGAAACCCAATTCGCACCCGCCACCCGCCAACCTGCGAGGGAGGGGCCATTTCTGGGGAGCTCACCTCTTGCAGTATGTGGGCCGGCATCTTGGCTTTCGAATGCTGGGATCACGTTCCCAGAAATGAAAATGTGCAGCGAATTTCAGACCAGGGATTAAGTTTCCGCAGCCGGAGGGCGTGCAGCACTCGGAATCCTGCGTGCCCTGCACTAGCCCTGGGCTAGAGCTGGCAGCGGGGTGTCCTATATTTCCTTAGATGTGTTTTCTCAATCAACAAAATCAAAAGCTTGCTGGCCAAGGCAGCCACGCGCGCGGGTAGAGATCGGAAATGAGAGGACGCTACAATTCCAGCTTGCAGTCTCCAGCGTCCAGAAGTCAGAATACTGCAGACACCGACACTGCATTGTCCCACTGCCAGCCAGGCGGAGGTGGGGGGGGGGTGCTAATGAGGCCTTCGTAAACTCTGGTTATTCATTGGCCAACGGGAATTTGGTACCACCTCGTTCTGCTGCTCCCATTGGCTCTGCACAATCTGCTGTTCCCTCTGCCTCCAGCTCCTCCCCCACTCTTTTTCTGTTTCTTGACTTCTCACCCATCCCCCGCTGGTCCTCCACCCAGCTCCCCCAACCCTCCTCCATCCTGCAACCGGGGCGCTGGAGAGCTCTCCCAGGAGAGAAGACCCAATCCAGCAGTGGGGGTTGGGTCCCAGGCCTGGAAGGCCCCGGGAGGCACTGAGAGGTTGCGCAGTTGGGGAAGTCACATTATCCTAGACCACTCACAACTCCATCCCATTTTTGCATTTCCACAGGAGGGTGGGAGGGGGGAAATGGCTACCACCGACAGAGAGAAACGCTGTAAGGACGCCTGCAGCCCGCTGTAAGGACGCCTGCAGCCCGCCTCCGTCCCAGACTAGAACCATCAGAGACCCGGTTGGAACAATGGTTCAGCTCTGCCCGCCGGCTCCTGGATGCTAAGGGGAGACCAAGCTGAGCTCTGGTGCCATAACCAGGAGTTTTCACAGATCTGTGGCGTGCCCTTGCACACTAGGTTCGGTCACTGCGCACACTCTAGGGAACAGCCATGGTCAGTACTCAAGCTCATCCCATGCTCAGGCCTTCAGAATGCACTCGCCTTCTGGAGATTTCTTCTGTCAGGTTGGACTTTTGCAGTGTTCTACATGGAAAAGGCCAGGAAGCAGCAGGCCAGAGGACTTGTATGTGGAATAAAAATAGAGAGCAGGAATTGACTGATTGCTGCAAGTCTCACTGTGACTGAGCAGTGGGTATTCCATCCTTCCACTTTAAAGAGGAAAATGGAGAGATCAGCTTGCCCATGGCCACACCAGCTAGTAAGAGGTAGAGCTCAGAGTTGAGCACAGACATGTGCCCAAACTCTCAACCTCCTCAGAGCCCTATGGCCTTGGACCCTGATGTGCTCTGTCCTCACAGACCTTTCTCCCCCATGACCCCATCTTCTCTGTTTTGACTCTACCAAGTGAGCTTGGGGCCAGGCAGACTATGCACTCACCAGGTCGGCTTCCCATTATTGCCCATCTCCTCTGGGAAGAGGAGATAATAGAGATTGGAGCAGTGACTAGCTTCTCAGGAAGACAGGTACCTGGCATTTCCCCAGGACCAAGCAGAATTCTCCCTTCTGATCTTAGGGGCTTGTCAACTCTCTAGCAGGTGACTAGACCCCTCCATTCCAGGCCAGGCTCCCTGGACAGTGCCAAGAATGCTGAAGGAAACCAGGTGGCCTCAGCAAAGGGCAGTTGAGCTGGTGTGGCTCAGAAGGGCTGTACGTAGAAGACAGGTCTACAAGTCTCCTGTGTGATGTCTAATTTGCTTAGTTCTTTTACCAATTGTGGGTTTATTCTTTGTCCTGGTCCATTCAGGCTGCTAACACATACTGCCTTAGACTGTGAGACTTTTAAAACAGAAATAGATATCTCAACAGTTCCAGAATCTGGATGTCTACATCAAAGCTCTGGTGTCGGCTGAGAATGGGGCCTCTGGTTCTTAGGTGGCTGTCATCTTTTCTCTGTCTTCACATGGGGAAGCCGTGAGCTTTGGCTTGGCTTTTGCAAGGGTACTGATGTCATTCATGAGGGCAAAGTCTCACCTTCAGAAACCCTACTCCAAATACTATCACATAAGAGATTAGGTTTTACCATATGAATTCAGAATTCAAGGTATTGCACTCTTTCAGGAAGAAGAGTCAGGATTTCTTTTGGTATACCCTTAATTGTGAACAAAGACAGTTCTTCATTTGAGATAAACCTGCCCTTGCTCTTAGTCTCCAGACCACAGTGCTGCTGCTATCATCACCTAGGGCTGGCGGGCCATGCTGCTTAAGCCAGCTGCCATGGCTTTCCATTTGCTAACAGTAAAAGCAAGGGAAAGCCTGCCAAGACAACAATGTAGAACAGGACTCCTATATTCCTCTCCAAAGATAGGCTGCAGCCCTGGGGAGAAAGTTTTGACAGCCCAGAAATGGACTGGACTAAGGAGAGTGAGTTCCAGGAAGAAGGCCAGAGACATCATTGTTGATAAGATAGGCAGAGGCCTGGTTCATCTCATGCATGGCAAACTTGAGGAGCTCCCAAAAGTGCATAAAATAAGGCTGCATGGTAGGAATAATATTATAGGAAAAGCATGAGACAGTATCAATACGTATTAGGTGACTGATAAATTAGAAGTTGTAAGTAAATATATGATCATATTTGTTTACAGTAGAATTTACAGTGAAGCAGGTCTTAGCCATTTTAGTATAGCAAATTACAATGCATGCTTGAATGATGGAGATTGGAACTATAAGTATTCCTGTATGAAAAAGGACACAAGTTATTATGGCAGTTCTTCATTTTTTAATATATTTTATTTATTATTTTTATTTTATGTGTATGAGTGTATTGCTTACATGTAGGTAAGTGCACCCACATCGTGCAATGCCTGGGGAGGACAGAAGAGGCCGACGGATCCTCTAGAACTGGAGTTAAGGACAGTTGTTAGCTGCCATGTGGGTGCTGGGATTCGAACCCCAATCTTCTGTAAGAACAACCAGTGTTCTTAACCGCTGAGCCATCTCTCCAGCCCCAAGCAATTCTTAATTTTGATCTGATGACTCGAGAGAGTAAGAATAAAATAGGCCCCACTTAACCATCTTAAGTGAATAAGAAGTCAGCTGAAAGATGTTTCTGTTGACCTTGGAATGAAGCCTGTGCTTCTTTGACTTTGGAGGCCCTCTGGAACCTGGCCTTCCCTGCTATCTCTGGCCTTCTTTCCTTATCTCTGGCTACTTCTCCTCGTTTCCCTTTATTCCCTTCAGTTTTATATGCTTCAGCCTGCAAATATTTTTTCTTCTGCCTAGAGCAATCTGATGCCTCCAACCTTTTCCCACTAGTGACTTAGCCTGGTAGTGGTTGTTGTTTGTTTTAAATCCCTAAAAGTTTTACTAGGCTTGCTCCCCATGTCATATCCTTCCCAAGTTCCTTGTGATTTCTGCTTTTGTGATGTTCATCCTATTTGTACTGGGATTTACCAAGAGGCTAGGGCCATGTCTACCTAGTTCACTGCTACTTCCTCTGGTAGTACCTGTAGCAAGATGGGTGTTATAAAGGTATTTGCACACTGAACTTGTTACATAAATCATAAATAGAAGACACATAAATCACAAATAGGAGATATTTGAAAACTGATCTCTTTAAGGACCATAGTCTTTTAAGCAATAGATGTGCATTATAATAAATGCTTTTGGAAAGCTGTACCCTTGACTTATGTGCATTGTTTCTTTACTCCCCAACCTGAGTGAAAAGTCATAGGAATTTCAATGTATGCAGAAGTGAGGGAGTTAAGATCAGGCAGACTAATGGAGCATATTTTGTCTAGCAGGTATTTAGGACCTTGAAGCCTCAAATGACACTGTGGAGATCTATTTCTGCCTCTTATTTCCAAGCCAAACACAGGAGCTAGCCAGGCAAAGCGAGTAGAAAGGAGACCGCCACATACCTGACCCTGCACTTGCTTCATCCCAACTCAGCATATCACTCACTATATGACCTAGAGAAATGCCTTTCTCAGTTTTTCCATGTTAAATAAATATTACAGTGTTAGGGTTAGAGAGATGGTTCGGTGGTTAAGAGCCCTGGCTGTTCTTGCAGAGGATCCAGGTTCTGTTCCCGGCACCCACATGATGGCTAACAACTGTCCATAATTCCAGTTCCAGGGGATCTGACGCTCTTCTGACATCCAAGGGCATTGCATAACATGGGTGCACTTACATACACGTAGGCAATACACTCATACACATAAAGATATTTTTAAAACACCACAGTATAAACTTACCTTCCCAATGAGGAAAATGGAAAAAAAAATTACTGCAAGCAGTTATTCCTTGTCATATTCAAATACAAAATAAGTATTTTTGATGTGGAATTAGGTCAGACTATTCCCATATCGTTCATAAGGAAAGTAAGTTAATATTGTTCTTTTTGTTTCCCTCCTCTACCTGTTTCACGCCTCCTTCCTTTCCTTCTTCCCTCTCCCCTTTATTTCCCTTGTCTCCCTTTCCTTCAAGAACAAATCCAATCTGAATGACACCTAGCAAACAAGGTGCTCTTACTCACAACTATCTCAGTACGCAAGAGGCTGATGAAGGAAGAATTTGAATTCAAAACCAGCCTAAGCTACATAGTGAAACTCTACCTAAAATAAATAAATAGCCCTCTGTTTCACCACATCATTATAAACTGCTGTTATGTATTTCATAAACCCATTTGGCACAGGGATAATTCAGCTATAGGAATAACAACATGTGCCAAGCAGTCATTTTAGAGCCACATATCATGAGTGGAGACAGCCAGACCTGGTTACTGTGACAAGTCCCTTTCACATTTTGGGGCAGACATGTGGCTGTTTCAGCCTTTCCATGGGACTCACTTTGTGCTACTAAAAAATAAAAAATAAAAAAAAAATTCAGGTATCAAATTTACAAGTTCATATTTTCTTTTTTAAAATTTCATTTATTTTTATTTTATGTGTATGTGTGTATCGCCTGCATATAGGTAAGTGCACCTGTGTTGTGCAGTGCCCTCGGAGGACAGAAGGGGCTGTCAAATCCCTTGGAACTGAAGTTATGGACAGTTGTTAGCTGCCATGTAGATGCTGGGATTCGAACCTGGGTCTTCTGCAAGAACAGCCAGTGTTCTTAACCGCTGAGCCATCTCTCCAGATCCCAAGTTCATATTTTCAAACTGTCCAAAGTTTATATTTTTCAGAAGCCACTCTGATTCTCTTTCTTCCCTTCCTCTCTTCCTCCTTCTCTCCTTCCATTTTTTTGATATTTTATTTATTATTTTTATGGGTATGAGTGTATTGCCTGCATGTATGTGAGTGCACCAGTGTCATGCAATGCCACAGAGGTC